GACTCGCCCTGCCTTCGGGGGTGGGGGGTGCTGATACGGAACCGAGCCTCTGAGGAACGGTTGATCTGTGATCCCCCGGTACCGGCTTTTTCCTCTCTAAAGCCAGTGTTAAAGCCCGCGCGTGCGGCCTGTGCCGGTAACGCGCTGCGGAAGCGCGAAGGGCTGTTAGAAGCGGGTTAGGAGGCTTTGTCCTTCAACGTCTGTTTTTGAGAAGCTCGTGAACGTTAAATGGAAGCGAGTGCGGGCAAATCGGATTTTTTTTTTTTAAAACTGGGGCAAAAGATATTTAATTTTCTGGCTAGCAGGAGCTTCTTTCCTATCTCAGTTCTGTTGTAAGACGTTACGGGTTTCCACGCGAGCCGTGTTTTATGTACGAGTCATCTTGCAGATGTCACCACGCCAGAACTTGGACTGGACCTACCTGGTAACGTTGTATGGAAGAAACGAACCGCTAAACTCGTTTATCTTCAGAGACCCTAGACTTGTGTTTTTCGAGTGGAAAGGGGGAAGGACAGCACAGCAAAACTGTAACGTTTTAGGATGAGTCCATTCAGTTAGCTCCAGTTCCTGGGGAAGTAAAATAAACTAGTTTTAAAAAAAACTTGGAAAATAACGAGTTGATCAGGTGGCAGTACGAGAAAGTTATCATTAATTTGCTGCTAAAGTGGACAGGTGAGTTCTGGTGGGGCATATCCTGAGTCTGACTGTGCGCAGTATTTTCAGTGATGAGTTGGATTCCACAGCAGCAAGTGTGCTTACTGAATGTGCAGGCTACATAGCGGTGAGGTGGGCTGCCAAACCCACTAGAGGATTAAAATTCAAAATGAAATCTTGTTAAATTGTAGAAGTTGTCCGAAATACATTGTGCAAAATCTATACTAAAAGGCAAATACTAGGAACTGTACTTAGCCTGGAATAATCACCTTCCGTTTGTGCAGTTGTTAGTAGTTCTGCCAAAGAAGAGTGCAAAGGGAACGGTCGGTATAATTCAGTGTCTTCAATGTCATGCAGCCCTGGAGAAGGCACAGACACACAGTTCTGTGTAAAAAGGAATGTAACCTTCGCAAAATGTCAAAGGATCCTTCTGTTTTGCACAGGGTTGGTTGGTAGAAAACATAGCTGTAAAATCAAGTATGGAAAAATATTTTGCTCTTCGATGTTAGCTTGTGAGTACAGTTGTTCACGAACGTTTCTGTGTTTTGGCAGGTGGTTATACTTCATCACATGTTGTCTAAAGCAACTGTAAAGGCCAGACCCTCTGTCCTATGGTGTTACAAAAAGGAGCTGGGCTTTAGCAGGTAAGATACCTCTTGTGTCTCATGCTGCGGTCACTGCTCTGTGTGAAGCAAAAGCTCCATGGTCTGATGAGCGTAGGTTGCGTGATTTGGTTGTGAGGAAAAACAGGATTAGTTCTTGGAGGAGCAATAGGAAGTTTGGTCTTCCAGAACTAAAATTTGGCTTCCGTAATACAGTTGACATCAGCACTAGGTATTTCTGGTTTCTTTCTGTAGTTCTAATGCTAAATCTGTTGTCCTGGACCAATCTCTCCCTCATCCTTTTAACCTCAAAAGACCAAAACTTTAATTCCTCAGCTTTTTAGCCTCGGTAGTATTTAGGACTAAATGCAGATTAAGCATCAGAATGCCTTTGTTTTGAAAAAGTGTTTAAAATTTTAATTCTTAGATTTGTGTACTTAAAGTCTGCATACAAAGTCAGGAAGGAGGTGTTACCTGAAACTGCATGATTCCAACCAAGCGGTTTCTTGCAAAAACAGCTGGTTCTGTGTGATATCCACCACTTTGGGCTGAAGGGTCATGGGAACATATCATGAAAGCGGCAAGTGTGATCCAAGATTTTTTTCCTTGGAGATTGCCCTCTGACTTCCAATTAGACTTGAACGCAGGACTGAGTGCACTTCTCTCAAACCTTTTTCCAAGCAAACTTCTGCATAATTTTGTTCTCCAGCCACCGGAAGAAGAGGATGAGACAACTACAGAAGAAGATTAAAAGTGGAACTTTGAACATAAAGGACGATGATCCTTTTGAGTTATTTATAGCTGCCACAAACATTCGCTACTGCTATTACAATGAAACTCATAAGATTCTTGGTAACACTTTCGGCATGTGCGTACTTCAGGTAAGGAGTGAAACTTCTGAATTAAAAAAGACATTGCACTGGAATCAATTGCTTTCAGGTTAAATGCTGCAGGAATAGTATTTGTTGCTTCTGTTATTTTAATTATGATGGCCTTACGTATCTTTTACAAGTTTTGTGAGGATGAGATAGCCTTGCTGGTAGAATTTTAATGGGACGTTGGTTAATGCAAATGTTAAGTGTGAATTAAGCTTTGAGAAATAATGTTTTTAGATTTTCTGTTCTTTTTAGCAGGTGCTAGTTATGCTGGTGAACTCTAGGCAACTTTGAAGTTTTATTTATTTCCTAGGATTTTGAAGCCTTGACTCCAAACCTGCTAGCTAGAACTGTTGAAACAGTAGAAGGGGGTGGAATTGTTGTGATTCTCCTGAGAACTATGAACTCACTGAAGCAGCTCTATACGATGACCATGGTACGTTCAGTGTAATGTGTCTGTTTTATATAAGCAGGTACATCGTGGTGATGCTAAGTTTTGCTTTTGTTATGGGCTATGGTCGTCTTTCCATCATCTTTCCTGCTCCATCATTCATCTGTGATTGAATGTCTTATGCTTAGGCAGTTCTGCCAACCTCTGTCTTGAAATGCAACTAGTTTACAAGGAAGAAACACCTGTCATTCACAAATGTAACAGTGTTCTTTTGTTTCACAATAGTTTGGGAAAGTATTTATGCTATCTGCCCATGTAACAGGAAGTTAAGTAAAAAATAGGCCTTTTGAGTGTTTTGTGATCTGTTGCTAGGTGAGATCAGCTTCACAACTACTATACATTTCTAGATATGAGCTATTCACACTGAGTATACTTACTTCTAAAGCAGGAACTGTCTCCATTAGTAATAAAGCCAGTAGGTGAATTAAAGTGATGGACTATTTTTTCTTAGCACCCCTGAGGTGTTTGAAATGTTCTGTACCTGGCAGAGTTGACCTTTAAGTCAGGCAAGAATAAGTAAGACCATTGTGAAAAGTATTGGTGGGAAAAGGACATTTTTAACAAGTATTTGGAAAATGTGGATGTTTCACAACAAACAGAAAATCAGAATCCTGCCTGGGATGTGGTGTTGATGGAAAGAGAGACTGTAATCCACAAGAGTGGAAAAGAAGTCGGATTGTCCTATGAGTAACAATCTTGTAAATTGTTAATCTGTTACTGCTGTTCCTTCTCCAGATTGACTTTTTCTTTTTGTTTCAGGATGTACACTCTCGATATAGAACAGAGGCACACCAGGACGTGGTAGGACGGTTTAACGAGAGGTAAGTTATTAAGAGTGTAATGGGTCTAGGCTGTATGCCCAAGAAAAGCATCTGGAACAATGTTGTGTATTCATATGAGGAAAGCATCCTATAGGTTTGCATTGGAATAGGGCTTCTTGACTGCTTCAGTGAAGTTTTCATGTACTGTTCTGGAAATGAGTACAGTTTGTTGTTGGAGGAATTGTATACAAAATTTTGGCATATGTTACAAGGGATATATGCAAATAGGCCCAAATTTGTAAACTGTTCTGAGTCCCTTTCTTGAAACGCTCTGTAGAAACATATGCTTCAGATGCGCTGAAGTTCAGATACTTACTGCACTACTGTAAAACATAAAACTGCTTAGCGTGGAGTATTCTCTGTGGTTTTAGAAGTGTCTTGTAAAGGTGTTTTCTGTGCTTTTGTTGTATAGAATAAGCAGCTCTTATTGAGTGAGTGAGCCCTAGCTCTAGCCATAGGAAAATCGCAGAAATCGTTCTTTAGCATGCAGGTGGTTATGTGAAGTCAGAAATTAGAAGGGTGAATAAGCCAGCACTGACTGCAGTCTTTGGGGGTCAGCGCTTGTCACAATTGCTGTGGATTCATGTCTTAACACTTTTATGCAGCTACTTCTCGCTTAAATGCTCTCTGGTAGATCATCTTCAGTTAGCGTTCTTCTTTGAAGACATTCTAGTAAGTGGATGCCTGTTTTGTGTAGGTGATCCTGATTTTGTGGTAAAAGGCACACTGCCAATTGCGTGAACTTGTCATAGCTCAGCTGTAAATCCTATGTCTGGGTTTAGAAAAGAGTTTAAATTAACTACCAAAATGCAATTGTGTTGCTAGTGTTTTTACTGAGTTGCCTTTGCTTGACTGCTCAGGTTCATTCTGTCTCTGGCTTCATGCAAGAATTGCATCGTGATTGATGATCAGCTGAATATCTTGCCCATCTCCAGTCACGTTGCAAACATCGCACCTGTTCCACCTCAGTCGCAGGTCAGTAAGCAATGTCAGCCTTTTTTCCTTGGGAGAAATTGGTCTGAGTTGACCACGGTGTGTTAAAGTTTTAAAAAAGAGGAAGCTTTCCTTTCACCCTGATTGATAGCAAATAATGGTCTTGCAGAGAGGAAGTAGAATGTCCTGCAAAAATTATACCTGGTATGGGTGAAGCATGGGAAGCTGTCTCTTCTTTCCTCCTTGGTTTTTTTCTGTCACAGCTTTTTTTTTTGTGCTTGCCTGTATTTATTGATTTTGCTGTATTGCTGTTTAGCCTAACGAGGTGGAGCTTTAATTGCTGTGGTTGCTGTTTCAGAAGTGCATAGGGAGGTTTCAAGCTGATGGACAGTTGGGACGAGACAAAGAAAAAGACCTTTCAACAGTTGGAGGGTGGGAAAACACTTTGGAAATAAGTATATTACAAGCTCAGGAGACATCTGATACCTAGAAGCCGTGGTGGTTGTTTCAATTTCTGAGATACACACGCCACATCTCGGGAAACATTCACTGAATATAAGCCAGACATATAGCTTGTGCTGTTAGAAATGTATCCTTTTATGACTTTTAGTTGTAAACTAAAGTAGAATTGAACCAGTTTTAAATAGAAATCTTTAAGTTTTGAACTTTTAGTGTGGCCTAAGAAATACCATATGTTCTATCAGAGATGGTAAAAACATTTTAACAGAGCACTGATTTAAAAAAAAAAACCAACGAAAAGAAACCCCCCTTTGCATTATAACAATATTGACAGCAGCACAAATGCTATCTTTTGGATAGATAGACTAATGCCTTTAGAATTTTAAGTGACAATAAGGAAAATCAGAATTCATTCCCATTTAAGATTGATTGCTTTTGTGTCCAAGTTTATTGTTTGGCTTTGAAAATCCTGATATTGGTTTGGAAACTGATCTATTGCTGCTGCAGTAGTTTTTCCCCGTACATGGCAATATGAACACCTTGTATGACAGGTATAACAAAGATCATAAAATTTTGGTACAGCCTGAAGACTGAAAAATGAATTGAATTCTTCAGAAAATTTGTCCATGGTCTCTTCTTCCCAGCAATGCCATTTTCCAATTACCATGTACTGAAAAATCCTTTCCTTTTTTCCTCCAAGCTTGGGGAAGCCAGGGTACCCACCTCTTGTGTAACCATTCTCCTGAAGACGCATTAAAATTGAAGTGTTAAATAGCTGTCTGTCCATTTAAATTTTTCTGTTTCTAGGGAGTATATTCAACTTGTGGTAACATTTCCTTTCAGATATTTTTCTCTGCCTGATAAAAGATATCAGAAGACATCACGAAGGTATAACTGTGCTGAAGTGTCCTTTACTAATCCTGTTATGGTAAATCCTGTGCTTATAGGAAGATAGCCTCCGGCCGCAGGACTTGGAGCTGAAAGAACTGAAGGAGAGCTTGCAGGATACACAGCCTGTAGGAGTTTTGGTGGATGGCTGTAAAACCCTGGATCAGGTTGGTGTGGTGTTCAAATTTGAGATATTCTGTGCTTGACAGGTCACCTTAAGTACCCATGTTTGTGTCTCATCTTGCATGTAATCAAATCTGAGTGTCAACAGTGATGGGTGTGGTCTTAGAGAATTTCCTTGAAAAATTGATTGGACATGGTAGCTCAACGACAGTATCAGTGATTTTCTTCATGAAGTTGAGAATAAGTGTGCGATTGTCTTCCCTGTTTTGGAGTATCCACTAAGAAGTTGCAGTTCAGCCTGGTGGCTCCCAGAGCTGTGTGCTGCTTAAGCACTTTTATAGTAGGTCTCACTGCCCAGATATGTTGGTCTTCCTCCTCTGAGAGCAGTGTGCCTCTTCGCGTCTTGCTGAATGTACTCTGTGGTCAGTGGCATGGAGGTAGTGATTGAGAATGGCACTTAGCAACAACTGAAAACATCAGTGTGTTATCAACATTCTCCTCATACTAAATCCAAAACACAGCACTAGGAAGAAATTTAACCCTATCCCAGCCAAAACCAGGACACTGTGTTTTGACCTGAATAATTTCAAGAACTCAGTGGGTCAAGATTACCACTTCTTGCACATTATTTGTCTGGGTTTTAATGTTCAGCTCTCCCATCTTGTCTTTCTCTTCCTTCTTCCTGTCCTAGGAAAGAAGACACGTACTAGTTGTAAGTGTAAGTAATGCTGAAAGCAATTTAAACACAGCTGATTTTTGTTTTCTATTTTTTTCTGATCATCAGGCAAAAGCAGTTCTAAAATTTATTGAAGCCATTTCTGAGAAGACCTTACGGAGCACTGTGGCATTAACAGCAGCCAGGGGACGTGGTAAATCTGCTGCTTTGGGACTGGCTATCGCTGGAGCAGTAGCTTTTGGGTGAGTGATCCCCCCCAACCTCCCAGGCTTTATTTGCATCCATGAGTTTAAAAAAAAAAAAGGACAGGATTTGAATATATTTGTAATTTCCAGTCCTACATCCCTCCTTTTTATTCTTCTTATATCTTTTGATTGCTGCATACACTGATATTCAAGTTTTTCTATTTTATAGTAATAAGAAAATTTCAGTCTCTAAAAATCAAAATAATCACACATAAATTGAGATAAGTGTCTAAAGGAATCTGCTGTGTTTTGGTTATTAGGTAAAATCAAGCCCTCATATAAAGAAAATATCTACTTAGTATGTATATGTAAAATTTGTTAGAAAAAGAGTTAAACTCTTGTTTCATTTTTTTGTGCAGTTACTCCAATATCTTTGTCACATCTCCAAGCCCTGATAACCTTCACACTCTCTTTGAGTTTATATTTAAAGGTTTTGATGCACTGCAGTATCAGGTAAGGAGAGCAGACTATTTTACAATACTTTCAAAGCGTTCCTGTTTAGGAGGGGTTTTGCATCTCATCTGTGATTTTTGTTAGCTATGTGTCTTTCTAGTAATGTTCTGCAAAAATGAATCATATTACAGTTATGTTTCCTTCTCTATTTTTAAGTTGGGTAGATCAGTTTCTTTGTGAAATAGTTTTTAAAATAAGTAAATAATTTCTCAGTTCTCAGGCTTCTGAAGCTTTTGTTATAAGAGTTTTTAACTAGAATCTGAAATAACAGTGTACTCTTCGTGAGCTTATTTTGATGATAATGGTAAACGGTATTTTTCTTAGATCTTGGCTTGTTCATACTGTTTAACAATGTTTTCTTTCAGGAACATCTGGACTATGAGATTGTTCAGTCTTTAAATCCGGAGTTTAACAAGGCTGTTGTCAGAGTGAATGTGTTCAAGGAGCACAGACAGACCATTCAGGTAACTGGCCTCTTTTGCACTCTTGCCTTTCTGCTTTTTGTTCCTGACTGTTGGTTTTACTGATGCTGTAGTTGTTTTGATTTTAAGCATGTTCATTTTATGTGATGTATAACTGATTGATTTTGCTTTAAGGCAGACCTTTTTTTCTGGTGAGTGACTTTCACAAAATATCTTATTTCTTTCTGTGAATAACTTGTAGATTACAAAGCTCCCTTGGTAATTGCTTATGGGTTTCTTCTTGAAACAAAAGCAAAGGAAGGTGAAAGAAACAGTCAAGGAAGAGCATACGTTTCCAGTGATTAGATTTCCTTTATTTTCATGATCTCTGCAGATAAATTTGTGTGAAAATGTGCAGAACAAGATGTGTGACCCAGTCCTTGTTAGGGTAACATGAACCCTCTCCCGGCTGTTTGTTTTCATGTTTCAGTCTCTGGCTTGATGGTAGTGGAGAACAGGGACAACAAACAGCTTTTCAGGGCTTCAGCTTTGCCAACTCTGAGATTTCCCTAATTCCCAGACAAGCTGCTGTTGACAATGACGGTGTTCTCTCATTCCTTGCAGTACATACACCCTGCTGATTCTGTGAAACTGGGTCAAGCTGAACTTGTTGTGATTGATGAAGCTGCCGCCATTCCTCTGCCCCTGGTGAAAAACCTGCTGGGCCCTTACCTTGTTTTCATGGCTTCTACAATCAACGGGTAAGGCTTGAGCAGCAACTGTCTACCTGGGAAGCAGTTGTGCAAGTGCCAGTGGACTATTTCTTCTCTACAGTACTTTTTTTATTACACACTATTATATCAGGTCATGCTAATTCTTGATCTGTCATGGAACTGCTCCTTAAAATAACCAAGAGTCAGTAGCTGAACTCGCTGCTTTCCTTTGGTTCCACTGTGGATTCATTAAGTGTTTGACTTGCACCTCTTCTGTTCTGCTATAAGAAGCAAATACATAAACAGGATTCTGCAGTCTATTAGGAGAGAGGGAAGAATGACATCTTGCTTCCGATATGGTGAGACTAAGAAAGTGACAGGGTAGGCTGCCCTACATGTGCAAGAACGTTAAAAGGCAGTGATTCTCACAGATGGTTGGGGCCCTCACAGGCCTCAGAATGGCACATAGCTCTGGGTGGCAGCCTAGTTCTGTGCTGGAGCTTCTCCATGGCTCAGGATTGCTGTTTGGTTATTTGCTTCAGACTTTTGTCTTCTGCTTTTCAGGTATGAGGGTACTGGTCGATCACTTTCTCTGAAGCTAATTCAGCAGCTCCGTCAACAGAGTGCACAAACCCAAGTCACCATGACAGCAGAGAACAAATCTACAGCTACAGCTAAACTCACCTCAGGTACTCCGTTGTATTCTGGACTGTGGTGTATAACCATGATCTCCGGTGCTGCTGACTGGCAAGCCTTGTGGGTATCCTGTGTGTCCAGGTACTTTGCAGCTGTAGGAAGGTACTGGTATGGGAAAATGAAGGAACTCTCCTCTTTTTTCCTCATGATTTTCAGATGTAAAGGCTTTTAAGGGATGAAAGCTATGTGAGTAATGATTTTCTAATCTCCTGGGAGCCCTTCAAAGGACACTGATCCTACTGGATTCTTTGCTAGCTGTAACTTCCAATACTAGATGTTCTTCTCTGAAATCTGTTTGCAGCTCGTACATTGCATGAAGTCTCCCTCCATGAGTCAATCAGATATGCCCCTGGTGACCCAGTTGAAAAGTGGCTAAATGATCTGCTGTGTTTGGACTGTCTCAGCATCACCAGAATTATCTCTGGCTGCCCGCTGCCTGAAACTTGTGACCTGTATCCTTACTCAAATGTTGTGCTCTGATCAAAATATATTGCTTTCAGGTGAAGGAGGCTTTTTCAAGCTGATCAATCGTGGGTTCTCCAGCTAACGTGATAACCTCAGCACATGATCTTTTGGCAAAAGTCTATTTAGACCACACTTCTGGAGTTAAGCTCTTACCATTGCCTTGTAAGACCGGTGGTGTGTGTTACCAGAACATTACCAGACTCCCATTTTACTGCAGACACAATCCTAAGAAAGGGTTGAATGAAGGGAAGTCCTTGCTGGAGTTATAAAAGGTTTAGCTTTGCAGATGAAGGGTGTGAAAGCTATGAACACTGCCCAAAGTCATTCATTCTTGTAGATTGAGCTGTAGACTCTAAGAGCACAAACCAGCATGTAGCCCAAGGCTGTATTGGAAATACTACTCCTAAACCAACAAGGAGGTTTTTTCTTGTTTCCAAGGAGGTTTCCTTAACCCCTGTGTTTAGATACTACGTAAATAGAGACACGCTTTTTTGTTACCACAGAGCATCAGAAGTTTTTCTGCAGAGACTGATGGCCCTTTATGTGGCTTCACACTACAAGGTAAAGCTTGTGCTACTTCTACCAAAATTTCAGTTAGGAATTTTGTGGAGGGAGCAGTGCTTGTTATGACAGTCTAATTGAATTGGCCTAATTGAGGTTTCTGAAGAGCTTCAGTTGCTTCTTGTTGTATACAAATCCATATTCTCCTTTCTCTCAGAAGATCTCTGCCTTGGTCTTGGCTGAATATACTGGATTTACAGATAACTGGAATATTTATGTCTTGAGAAATTCTAGAGACTAAATTCTAGATGAGCCTACAAGCTTGTCAGAATAGTATCAGAGATGAACCTCTTTTGCAGTTCTCTTTACCGTATTCTGGTAGCCTCAAATATTTTTTAGTAGTAGTAGTACCACCATCAAAAGAGTAGTACCATTGTACTACTGAAAAGAGTAATAATTCATTTCAAGGTTTCAAGACCATGGGTGACTAGTAAATGTGAGTGGTGAAGTCTGTAAGTATTGAAGTACTGAGTACTAAAAATCTGACACTTAAAAAAAAAATATTTAATGTTTGGTAGATTAAGAGATAAGTAGCTATATGAAAATAGAAAGTTCAGTTCCATACGTATTAGAGCAAGAGGTTTCACTTGAGAAAAACAGATGCTGTCTGGTAGTATAACAGCCATGAACTGGCCTGTGAGCTTCTTCATCCATCAGTATTGTATAGTTCCAAGTTTCGTAATAGCCCTAAATTTAGAAAATGGAGGATTGTTTAGAAGTCAGCTACTAACATTACACTGGACTTTGAAACTCTTCTTGTGGAATAATTCTTCAACTTTATCCTCCAGAACTCACCCAATGACCTCCAGATGCTATCTGATGCACCTGCCCATCATCTTTTTTGCCTTTTGCCACCTGTACCACCTACCCAGAATTCGTTACCAGAAGTACTTGCTGTTGTTCAGGTAAGAGAGCAGCATGTATCTATGAAAGTGAACTGTTCAATGATGAAGCAGTACACTGCTGTGAGACAGTGTACTGTCAGTGTACTGTGACAGCAGCGTACTGACTAGGAGTAGATGGTAGCTTAGGGCTGTGTTTTTGTGTGTCTTACAATGGTGTATTAAGGCCATTTTTTTCCCCCTGCTTTCTTTTGTTAACATTAATTCTGTATAAGTACACTGTGATGCTGATCCTTTCGCATAGACCTCCTAGTCTCCACAATGTGTTTGTGCTGAGAAGCCTTCTGAGGAGCTTTGTCCTCCCGTTTCAACTTCCTGCAAGGAGAGTTGGTTCACTGGTTCACTCTGCTTATCCCATGTTTCTAGCATTTCTTTTATTTGCAGTAGAAGTGCAAAAATACAAACTCCTCAGATGTACATGCTTAGAGATGTAGAAATATTTTAGCCCTTGACTGTTGGGTATCTGACTATATGCTTCCTTCCTTCCTTAAGAACACAGATTCTTAATTATCTGTGTTCGATATAGCTAGTTAAATCCACTGTTTCTTAAAAGAAAAAGCTCCATTTCCATGAAAAATATATGACATGTAAAGAGAAATATTGGTGGGACAAGCTTTTGTGTTTGCTGTTGATGGACTACAGAAGATGCATAGAGCACTTTCTATGCTTTAATCTCTTCAGTTGCACCACAGTGTAACGCCTACTGCATCAAGTGGTGTCCCGCTGGTGTGCTTTTTGAGACAGGGCTTTTAGGGGCAGAGCCTGTTTGTTGGCACATATGTGTTTGTTCATCATGTTGCAGAGCAGGGATCACATGAAATGCCAATACTGCATAATGGACTCAGCAACTGAGTTGTGCTGGGCTGACCCAGGCTGGACGCCAGGTGCCCACCAAAGCCGCTCTATCATTCCCTGTCCTCAGCTGGACAGGGGAGGGAAAATATAATGAAAGGCTCATGGGTCAAGATAAGGACAGGGGGAGATCATTCACTAATTACCGTCACGGGCAAAACAGACTTGACTTGGGGAAATTAGTTTAATTTATTACCAATCAAATCAGAGTAGGATAATGAGAAATAAAACCATATCTTAAAAACACCTTCCCCCCACCACTCCCTTCTTCCCAGGTTCTTCCCGAATTCTCTACCTCCTCCCCGCCAGCAATGCAGGGGAACAGGGAATGGGGGTTGCGGTCAGTTCATCACACGTCTCTGCCGCTCCTTCCTCCTCAGGGGGAGGAATCCTCACGCTCTTCTCTTGCTCCAGCATGGGGTCCTTCCCACAGGAGACAGTCCTCCATGAACTTCTCCAACGTGAGTCCTTCCCATGGGCTGCAGTTCTTCACGA